CTATTTGTCACTACTACATCGATGTGATGTTTACTTTAATTTAGCTTTACTTGGTTAACAGTAGGGCATTTTTTTATTCTCTCTTAATATATATGATATTAAACAAAATCGCTATCAGCTGTAAGTAAACTTAGTTTTAAATACATGTCATTTATAACATCAGGAAGAGATACCTTAAAACTTAGCTACTCAAGAGGGTCTTTCTTTCTCTTCCGAGTGAAGCGCCCATTCTCTACGCGTTGTAATCGCAAGTCATATGAGCCAATGCTTCTTCTGTGCAAGCTGCACGGCATTTCATCTTTTTTCCCGTCCGGTGCAGCTCACACCGAATCTACAGTCTCTTTCGAGAAGGCTTGAGCTGCTGCACTTAATGTACAACGCACTTTTTTGTGCCACAAAAATGGTTGGAGTGCGGAAGATGAAGAAGCTATGACCGCGACGGAGGTGGTGAACGTTTGTCAATCCACGGATGGTAAAGCAGCAGAGCAGCATCATGTTATTTGCAATAAAATCATCTGTCATATTACTAAGCATTCACGTCCTGCGTGTCCTTTCCTCCCTGGGTTGAGAGATGCGAAGCGTCGAGCTCGTTAAAGGCTTGGATAGCACAGTTGACCGGAAGAGCTTGTTACTTGCCTTAAGGCTTGAAACAGCCTTGAAGCGAACAGTCCTTAGGAAACTATGTTGGAATATCCCTTTTTAGTACGAGAGGCTGTCAGATGGTCATGAGATCGACCAAATGAAAGGCAGTTTAAATCGTGTCGAGCTAGAGCCTTATATGCATAGAGGCCACGCACGAAATATATATGTGCTATCACTCTGTAAAAAAGTCATTCCCACAATAAGGAAACATCAAGCAAAATATGTCTTGAGTGTTAGCACCACCCAATCGAAGGTTTCGGGTGTACATCAATTTCATTTTGACCAATCATGGAAGGCTAGTACTAGCGACCGATGTTCAGGTGTTTCGACCTCTTTATTGCTGTGATGGTAACAGACCCTCTTCCGTATGTGGTAACAGTGACCATTTTAGTGCAGGATTTTTAAACAGGTGCGGTTAACACGAAGTCTGTCCGCTTAAGTCTTCGTCATCTAGAAAGCGGTGATGTAAAACATTGGGTGCATTTTCATAATATTTGCGTGATAAACATAGCAATAACTTCGTTCAGATGTCAACAGCTGTAGCTAGCATCACAGCCGTAAAAGCCAAGATGATTTAGCTGTTAGCATAGCAAACGACAACTCGTGTCATTCGGAAGTTATATTCTTATCGTGATGTCTATGCTATTGACATTGTGGATCATGAATACCACGGATAGCATCCATTTGAATTCAAGTTGTAAAGTGAAAAGAACGTAGCCGATAGTCGAGCTCTGGAATCGCCTATCCGGAACTGAACGCAACTTCGTACAATGGAATGTGATACGGAGAGCACCTTCCAAACTGCGAGGCCCGGTGGGATGAGGAAAGAAATAGCTCTATTGAGAAGCCAGAGACGATAAACGTCAGTGGCGTTGAGGAGAATCTGCAACGTGGTACTCGCAGATATGCATCATGCGCGCGCCAATTACGCTTAGCTCAGTCTTAACGAATGGATATTTATCGTCTGAAAAACCCTCGTGGCAAGATGTCGAGTCTCTAGGTGTTGAACGGCCTCATGAAAAAGATTCGAATGTTCATACACTACGTGACGATTTGGACCACCTTAAAGCGCGACTTCCTATCCGATAAGTGGACTGTCAGAACAAATTCATGGGTGCTAACATCTACTCCTCAGCCTATTTAAACATTATAAATCGTGATTAGTTTAGGATAATCGAATTAATTCGTTCTACGTGTGATTGTCAAGTACAGTAGATAGTACACGGAAGTATTTAAGGCGCCTAGTACGGTTGTGATATTCATGCTAGAATACTTCTCAAAAAATCAAATTTGATAGTCTTCTTGTAACGGCAGACTGTTTGATCGAGTTGAACAACGCCAAAATCGAGATTTAATTTCATCCTAGCGTCAATGCGTCACGATCCCACAAGAAAGCAGAATTTCTTGAAAAAAGAGCGGAACTCAGAAGCGGCAATGAGCCGCAATTTCAGTATGAGATGAAACATTGCTGTCGTCTTTCGTGCTTTCTGGAGTGTAACTCTGCTAAGTTTGAAAAAAGTTGGGATGTATTGCCCCGACAATGTATACCCACGTTACTATTGCAATCTGTTGGCTGTTATGCCAAAGCAGGTGAAGAGATAGAGCGCCTGTGGGTCATCGTCTTCTTTGCTAGGGCTGTGGAGGCGGGCGACTGTATTTCCACGTCGAAGCGCTAGGTCGCGAGTATTTATAGAGTCGTTATTTTTGTCACCAATAGCGGTTCCGATATGTCAGCTTTACTTTCTGCCGCGATATATGTGTCTAGCAGTGGAGCTTCACGGAATACGGAGTTAGAACTACTCAAATTCTGAGTAGAGTGGCCGGGGCATTCAAACAGGTTGTGTGTTCTACTAATTTTAGCTGGTTGAAACTCTAATTGAGCTTAAACAATTATCATACTGGACTATCTGCAAAGAGAGAGTACATGAAAGATTCTTCGATTCTTCATGTAAGTAGAATGGCGACTGACGTGCTGACGAGAGATCCACCACGCATTTTTATCCTAAAGCAGGTGTGCGTCATGAGTTTACTTGATTTCTGGTCCCATAAATCATACGTCAGTGTTCCTTATTACAATATGAACTCGACGCGCGATAGGGATTCGTCAGTAGTCAGTATGAAGTGGTTTTGGTGAGAAAGGAAACACTCTAGCATTCAGCTCGCCGTTCTGTGTCGTAAAAGCTAAAGCAATTGGCAAGCGGAAAATTGTGCATGCTAATATCAGCCAAATTCTGCCGCAATTCCTGTATAAAAGGTTATATCTCGAGAACATGTCCGGCAACACTTTTTTTTGCGCTTAACCTGAATATATAATATTGTTAGCTCTTGACGAGACAGCGGTATTCCTATCATTTCGTGAGTATTCTAAGAGTTGTTCAATATATAGACTGTATAAAACATCAGTTCAGCAATGTCCAATTGTCTAAATTTTGCAGCTGTTTAAACAGCATTGTATCCATGCACAATCTAATTTTACAATAACTTGACACCATCGTGCACAAAACGAATAGGCGGATTGAAAAAGGATGTGAGACAGCCACATTAAGCACTTGCGAGCAGTTCATGCTTCGATTAGCTGGTTGCAATATCGATAATTATGTCTTTGGCGTCGACAAGGCTCGTTTTCGGGATACATCGTTGAAAAGGTATCGCCTGCAGGCAGATCACACAAAGATAAACACCATTGTAGATTGGCCGGTGTTTCTGCTTTTAACGGGCTTTAGAAAGACGATTGGCATGGCCAGTTACTTGCACAAGTGAATTGCAAATTATACTGGCATGGCACGAACTCTCGTCGATGCCCCTACAACAATGTCAAATTATCCTGTTGTGCGGTAGAATATGTACCTTCAAAGCGATGGGCAAAATGTTATTCAGCTCCACTTCTTGATCTTTCAAATTCAAATCGGCCATTCCATGTCGTCTATGACGCTCCAGTCTTTGATATGTGCTGCACATCCCGACAACAGTTGCTAACGGACATGTACGCAAAGCTGTATCTGAGTCTCACCGGATGCAGAAGGCTGGGAAATACTAGTCAGCCCAGATTAGTTTGATTAGTTGTAATGAAGCATTCTTTTGTTCAATGTTTACCTGCTGAACTTTGAGTCAATTTTGGTCTATACGGATCTCCATTGTTGCGCACAGCGACGTTGTTGCCGCATCTCTCGCCTAAAATGGCGAAGTGGTCATCATTCTTCGCTGTCTATACTTTCATGGTTTAATTATACACCGGGTCTGCTCAATGTGGTGGTTGATGTGCTTTTGGATTGCCCCGACTTTGAGCTGTCGCGTGTCAAATTGGTTACGTCGGCATCAACGAGGTGATACGTTCGATGCGTGGAAAATAACAAACGTGGGTTACTCTAGCAGAAGGTTCTGGGCGACAAGACATTTCAAGCTGAATATCTCTTTATTGCAGTGATCGCAAGCGTATCTAGATCAATCTTTTTTGTCTTAAAGATCGCTGTATCCGGTTGCGAGCACAGTACATACAATTACAAGTATAGGTTCATTGATGATGAATTGTTTGGTAGGTTCC